ATTTCAGAGGCAAGATCTGATCCCAGATCCTGACTCCAGAAATAGTGTTCTTCCCAATGTACCATGCTGTCTATTTTGGTGATAATATCAAATCAATCAATAATAATTCCCCCCACCCCAATCTGTCAGTATCTTCCCCTCATTGCTCAACCTTGAAAAATGGTCCCTCAATGCTTTTAATGCTAAATCATCCCCAGCATAGCATTTCATCAGGTCCAGCCATTATTCCCAGCTTGCTCTTTTCAATACCACACACACTTCTTCATAGAACATACTGGAGCTTGAAGTATTAGCATCTAAATGTGATGGTCCCACTGTCTTCATAGATCTTATCTAGGGGTAAACACATAGGTACTGGGACAGCTCAATGGACAGAGTGCCAGGCATGGAGTCAGGAAGACTCCTTTTCCTGAGTTTAAATCTGGCCTCAGACTCTTACTAGCTGTGTGACCCTGAGCAAGTCACTTACCCCTCCCTGTTTGCCTCAGTTTCCTCATCTATAAAATGAGCTGGAGAAGGAAATGTCAAAGCACTGTAGTATCTCTGCCAAGAAAACCCCAAATAGGGCCACAAAGAGTCAGGACAGTACTGAAAAATGACAGAACAAACACATAGGTTGGTCAAAGGGATTCTGTGTCATGCAGCAGGGTCTCAGAAACTTTGAGGAGACACCTTCAAGGTCAGTAAGAGTCCTAGTCCTTGATTGCAAAGGGCAAAAGATGGAGGACAAGTGAGTGATACGTGAAACATATCCACATTTCTGCTGAGACTTCAAACTCCCAGCCCAGGCAGGCTTTCTGGATTCTGATGTCAGAAATATGGCCACAAGGGCCAAGGAAGCCCTGTACCTTTTCTTCTCACATTTTCTACCACATATTTAGGCACTCAGGCCTTGGGCAGGGTGTCAATATTGAGGGGTCCAATGAAAAAGAAACAGGCAATGTAATGACATGAGAAACATTCAAAAGACAAAGTCATACCATTCGCAAGTTGGTCGCAGAGCCATCCTCAACTCCCTCCCCTCTGCCTCACATGTCCAGCTGCTGCTGATTTGACCTTCACAGCATCTTTAACATCTACCCCCTTCTCTCTATTCATATGGGTAACACCTGAAACTCTGATCCCTTCTCTCCTACACTATTGCAGAAGCCTCCTAATTGGCCTCCCTATCTCAAGCCTCTTTCCACCCCAATCCATTATCCATATAGCTGCTAAAGTGATTTAACTAGAGTGTACAGTGGCACAGGGGTAGGAGACCTGCAGCCTCGAGGCCACAGGTTCCCCACCCCTGATTGTACTCTGATCATGTCACTCCTGCACTCAATAACCTGCAGTAGCTCCCTATTTCCTCTAGGACCAAATACAGACTGTACCATTTGTCATTTAAAAGCCCTTCACAACTTAGACCCAACCTACTTTCGAAGGCATGACTTCCCTTTACACTTTGCAATTCAGTCAGCTTCCTTCTATTCTTCCTCCATGACATTCCATCTTCCATCTACAATGCCTTGGTGTAAGCTATTCCCCATTCCTAGAGTGTACTCCCTCCTCACCTCAAGTCACCAGAATCCCTCTCTTCCTTTAGAATTCTGCTCCAGCACCACTTCCATGTACAGACCCTCTTCTTTCTTCTTGCAACTCCAGCTCTGGAACCATTCGCTCACTGTGTATCCCATGGATAGAAGGTGCCTACTTTTCACCTTTGCCTCTTATAATAGCTGGCTTCCTTCAAGGGATAGCTCAAGTGTCAACTCCTTTAAGAGGCCTGTCTTGACTCACCTCCCCCAAATCCCCACCAGATGTTCATGGCCTTGCCCCTGAATTTACCTTGTATTTGCTTTGTATGTATTCTATATTGACTTACCTGTGTAAATGCTTCCATTTGGTAGAATGCATGCTGCTTGAGGGCAGGAATTGTTTCATTTTTGTCTTTGTATCCCTAGGGCCTAACACAGGGCTTTTCAAATTCTAGATGTTCAATAAATGCTTGTCAAATAAATGGTCACTTTCAAAATGAGGGGATCAGGCTAGAAGGCCTCTAAGGTCCCTTTCGTTTCTAAAATGATGATCCTAAAAATCCACACAGCTAAAACCAAGTGGATGAAGAATTCCCATCATCCAGCCTATGATTTACAATTGGATGGGTCACCCGTAGACCTGGCCCATCAATATATATATCTTGGACAGACACTACCAATGCACAGTGATCGGAGCCCAGAGTTGAATAATAGGAAATCAGGCTAGGTTGCCTCTGGGAAATTGCAGAGATCTCTTAAAGATGCCATACTTCCTACTGAAATAAAGGCCCATTTTATAACTGGGTCATAAATACCATTCCTTCCAAAGAACTGAAGTTAAAGGTGACCCACAAGGTGAGGGGGAGGCGCAATCAGCTGGGTGTGAGTAAGCTGCAACATATTACAAATGAGAAATTCTGTAGGAGAAATTACGCAAAGGATGTAATCAAAGAGGTCTATAATGGGGGGGGGGGAGATGGGATGGTCACATAAAGCAAGCCTTCACTATGCCCTTACTCTGTGCTCCATGCTGGGAATAATACAAAACCAAAAATGAAAAGATTTACTGTGTAATTGAGGAGATACGTATTTATACAGGTATATATAAAACACAAATAAAACAGGTACAAGGAAACCATAAAAGTCCTGTAAAGACTCGAGCTGAATCCTAAAGGTTCAAAGTGCCAGAGGTGACTATTCTGGGAATGAGAGGTGGTAGAAAGGATCAGAGATGGGTGATGGGAGGTCCTATGCAAGAAACAGCAAGTAAGCCAGTTTGGCTGAGTACATGTGGAGGGGAGAGCTGTTTAAGAAAGCTGGATAGCTGGAAAAGTGGGATGGGGCTGGGTTGGGAAGAGATTGAAATTCCACACAGATAAGGATTAGGCAATGGGGGTGGGGGGGAACCTTCGGCCTCTAGGCCACATGTGGCGTTCTGCATCCTCAAGTGCAGCCCTTTGACTGAATCCAAACTTCACAGAACAAATCCTTTCATTAAGGGGATTCCTTCTATAAAGTTTGGATTCAGTCAAAGGGCTGAACTTGAGGACCTAGAGGGCCACTACATGGCCTGGAGGCTGAAGATTCCTCACTCCTGGACATCCTTTCAGTGATACAGACCAAAGCCAATCCACATCTGCTCATCCTGGGTGACTCCCATCCCCATCCTGCCTTACACAGGTCCACCATGCATGCTGCAAAGAACATTGACATGGGTGAATCACAGCTCCATCAAAATCTGACCCTATGATCTTCAAAAAAAGGAAATTAAATCCTCTACCAAGGAGGGGTTCCCATCATAACTTTTTACAAATTTAAATTTGTTGCTATCTTTTGTTTTCACAAAGCACTTTACACATTACATCTTGACTGAGCAGCACCACAGTCCTGTGAGGTTCCTGCTTTTCTTACCCCCTCCTCCCATTTTACAGCTAAGGAAATCAAACTGAAAGAGATCAGGTGACTTGCTCTGGGACACACAGCTGAGGCAAGATTCAAATTCAGATTTTTCTCACTCTGTGTTATGTCTCCACGTGTCAGATAGACTATTCCATGGTAACTTAAATGACTTTTTTTCCTTTTTTCTTTTTGGTGAGGCAATTGAGGTTAAGTGACTTACCTAGGGTCACACAGCTAGTAAGTGTCAAGTGTCTGAGGTTGAATTTGAACTCAGGTCCTCCTGACTCCAGGATTGGTGTTCTGTCTACGTCACCACCTAGCTGCCCCTTAAATGACTTTTCCAAAATTCCAGGTAGGCATAGACTAGGAGCTGAGCTTCAAACTCTCGCCCCCCCCGCCCCCCCCAATCCAGTTTTAATCCAGTTTCTTAGCCTGGTTTTGTAACTCACTGAGGAGCCGGGCGGGAGGAGAAAGGTCCGAATGTAAAAGCAGAAACCTGAAGACTGAACAGCCAACATTCTGCAGAGTAAGAGAGAGGGCTTTTTTAAAATGCAAAGCCTTGAAACTTAAGTGGCCGCAATGTTGAAAAGTGACCAAGAAAACCCATGACATTCACCATCTTGACTACAAGGGATGGGCGTTGAGGCTAAGTAAGGGAAAATAGCTAAGCGACAGCCCTGCCACACTGCTGCAGGTGTGGGTGTGGCTTTCGGAAAAGAAAGAGCTGTTTAATTCTGGTACCTAGTGGAAGCCTGCAGGTGGATACTGCAGGGGCCAGAGGGAGGGGGAGACCTGTACACGGAGGTCTAGTGGAAAGATCGTGGATTTAGGAGTCAGAAGAACTGGGTTCGAATACCTACCTATTTCTTAGAGGCTCACAGAATTTAATCCTGAAAGGGACCTGAGAAGTTACCCAGTCTTAGTAGCTTCATGACCTTAGACAAATCAATTCACTTCACTGGACCTTGAGGTTTCCGTGTGTAAAATGAGGGGGTTGGAATAGACGATTTCAAAGGTCTTTACCAACTGTCAGTGGTCAAGTCATACCTTCTCGGTGCCCCCAGGCAACTCTAACTCTGTAAATTGCCGAGGAGATGTTAGATAGGAGTTCCCTAAACCGATGAAATCACAGGTTCCGTCACTCTTTTCTAACTCCAGTTCCTAAAATCCAGTGAATGTTATTCCCCTTCTCATCCCTGCACCTCTCTGCCACACCCACGCACACGTCTCAAGGGAGCACAATTCAACCCAAACCTTCAAAATCCAACACTGGAAACACTCTGACCCCTGAGAGAGCCGGTCCCCCTTCCCTAGAGACTAGACAGAGGGGGTTGAGGTGGGAAGGCACAGAGACCAGCCGCAAAGTCGGGGGTGCGCCCCTCTGGGGCTGGGCCGGGGGCTCACTGCTAGAGGACAGACATCTCAGCATCCCCGGGGGTCTCCGCTGGCCCCGTCACTTGAGCCCAGCGCCCCCACATGAGGATTTGGCAGAGTCTTTTTGGGTCTTCGTCTACTCTACACCTTCAGGGAGGAGACACCTGTTGCGTTATTGATTGATTGATGGGCCACACCTCCCACTGGAGGCACCAGTCTCCTCCTTCTCCTTCCTTCCCCCCCTCTTAATCCTGGGCGCCCTTGGCCATTGGGCCAGTTCGGAATTCTTCAGGAGAAGCGGAGAGAACGGGTGGAGCCGGGCAGAGAAAGGACCTTCTTTGTGCCCCAGAATAAGCAACACCAGGTGCAGCTGCAGTTACAACCTTGAAAGAAGTGAGGATGGCCCCTGCAGCAACTTCGGGAGGCGGCTCCCTGCCCAGCGGCTTCTCTGTTTTTGCTTCCTTCCCGGACCTGCTTTTCATTTTTGAATTTGTGAGTTGGCCTTTAAAAATACCTGTTCTTTCCTGGCCATGGGGTAGGGGGATGAGGAAAGAAATAACACCTGCAGACTTGACAGGCTGTGATGCTGCTGCTAGCCCTTCTGTGAGTGTCAGGACTCTCCCTACTCCGTAGACAAGTGAGGAGGCACAAGAATCGTGCTAATACCGGCTTTGTTTTAAGCACTTTCCCATTTCCCAGGCACTTTCCTCTCAGCAACCCCGTGAGGCACCCAGTTCAAGTATTGTCCTCCTTTTACTGATGCAGAAGCGAAGGCTCAGAAAATTGAAGTGATTTGCTGTAGCTATATAGAGCTAGTAAGCTGTGAGAGCTAGGATTTAATTTCCCGGTCGCCTGGTCGAGTCTTGCACAAGCTGGTAAGAGTCTTCCAGCCCGTGAGCTCCTTCACAAACCTGTTAGAGCCTCCTCAAAGTCATTTAGGGCTGTAGGCATTCTAGTGTTTGGAGATTTCAAACATTTCCTCCAGCAACTCAAATTGGCCAAATTGATAGTATAGGTAGAATCAAAAGACTCCTATAAAGCTGTCATTCTTAAAACTAGAGATTTATCTGCTTAGCAAGTTCATGTATTGGTCCCAAGGTCCTTTTTGCCTTTAAAAGCAAAACTGCCTTAAAACTATATTTATTCAGAGTATAGTGTAAGGAGGTCTGGATTTAGAGTTAAAGGATTTGGATTCAAATTTTGCCTCTGCCACTTACTACTGGCATGACTTTAGGCAAGTCACTGCTTCTAATGATCCTATGGCCTCTCTGTGCCTCAATTCCTCATCTGTAATTACAGGCAGCTGATCAATTTTTTTTCTTTCTTAGACTTTGTTAAATGCTATAACATAAACAATTTGGGGATATCACAAAATATTGTTTTAGAGTACTACCTAAGATCCAAATGCAGTTTAAAAAAAAAAACCTTGTTAATATGGTGTTAAATGAATCACATTACCTAAAAGATTCTGAGTGTGACTAGTTTGAATTTTTTAAGGTTTGTTTTTGAACTTATAATGACCAAATGGAAACATTGTTATATTTTCAGTTGAACCTCCAATTATTTGTTTTGTAACACTGCATACATCTCTTGATCCTTGTCCTGATTCCTAAACTTTTTAGGAATTTTTTTAAACTTTTGTAAGGTTCCTTGAGGAGAGAAATGTAATTTGAATCACTGTCAATTGTGAAACTTGGAAATAAACATTTGATTTGGTTTATTATGGCATTAACTTATGAAGGGGGGTGGAGTAGATGACCTCTAATGCCTCTTCCAGCTATTCTGATTCCTGGAGGGGAGGGGGGTACCTCGGAATACTGAGGGGGTTTTTTAAAGTTTTTTTTAATCAGTCCTTTAGCAAAAATTACTAAGTACCTACCATATTCCAGGCACTGTGCTAAGTGCTGAGGATACAAAGAAAGGAAAAGGAAATAAAAATAAAAAGTAAAAAGTAAACCAAGTCCCTGCTCTCCAGGAGCTCACAAGCTAATGAGAAGTAACCAACTGTGTACAAACAAAATATATACAGGGGAAGATATATTGAGGGGAGTCTCAGAGGGAAGGCATGAGAATGAAAGCAGAATTGGAAAAGGCTTCTTATAGAAGGTGAAATTTTAGTTGGAACCTGAACTAAGCTTGGGAGACCAGGGGTAGGAGATGAGAAAGAAGAGCATTCTAGGCTTAGGGGACAGTCAGTGAAAATTCCCAGAATCTTGTGGGAGGAACAGCAAGCCAAAGAAGCTGAGTGATTTTTAGGGCAGAATTAAACATGCTATGAGGATTTGGGTCTGTTGCTTTTTGTTTTGGTTTGGTTTGTTTTTAATCCCTGATTCAGAAACCGTGGGGCTTGTTGATATGTACCTATCTCTGTAGATTTGGGTAGCTGTGATTTGAAAAGGTTACAATAGAGGCAGCTGTTTGCATAATAATAGTGCAGTCTCACTCCAAGGTTGGTGCTTGAATAGTTGGAGGCTTAAGATTCTCCTCCCACCATAGTTTAGTGAAAGTTGTGTGACCTTGGGCAAATCTCTAGACTTCTCCTCCATTTCCAGGCTCATCATGTCCTCAGTGACCTTGTTCAAAGGAAGTTCATAAAGACTATACTAGTTGAAAAACTCAGTGGAAATTCTTACGGAATTTTCTTTTAGATACATGTTAGAAAATAACTAATGATCACCCAGTTTCAACACTTGGACACCAGCCACCACCTGTTGGATTTTGCTGTGTGCTTGTGTTATCAACTGCCAAGAATTGTTCATTTGCTTTTCTGTTACTCTTAGGCAACCCCAAATCAAACACAGTTGTTCTTTTAAATTCTAAGCCATGTGCTCAGATTCTGTAAAGTTTTCGTGTGGGGAACTAATTAGAAAGGGGTAGGGAGTGGGGGAGATAGTCCGGTACCATGTTGAGGAGATATAGTAGAATATGAACTCCTTCAGGGATTAACCGTCTCTCTTTTGTGTTTGTATATCCAGTACCTAACATACCTAATAGGTACTAGTTGGGGCTGGTACACAGCAGGGGCTTAATAAATGCTTACTGACTACTTAATAAGTAACTTCCTGTTATCCAGATCAAAACCTGAAATGTGGTGCTGAAAGTGGCTTTCAGGATATTTTAGGGATTTTTAAAATAACTGTCTCTAGGGACTCCTTAGAATTTTCCTAATTAGGTATCATGTAACCTTGTTCAATTCAATAAAAATTTGAAGAGTACTTAACTGGATGTAAGTACTGTGCCAGGCAATTCAAGTGTTCCGAACAAGTCTAAGACACAGTTCTTGCCTTTAAAAGACTTTGCATTCTGACAGTGGTTAGAGGAAGGAGAGTGGAGATGTTTGGGGGTCTCTACCACCCCACACAAACTGAAATGAGAACACATTTTGTGCCACTTGTACAATGACTAGTTAAGGCAATAAGAGCCATGTAAAGTGCTCTGGGGGTCCAAAGGCAAGAGTGGTCACTTCCAGTGAAAGAGGGAGATTGTGGAAAGCTTCAGGAAGGAAGTAGCCTTTGATCTGGGTCTCAAAGGATGGGCAGGATTTCTACTGATAGAGATGTCAGGGTGGGAAGAACATTCCAAGCAAAGCAGAATAGCATGAACAAAGACCGGAAGACTGGGAGCCACAGGGTGTGTTCAGGGATGGGTGGTGAATAGTCCAATTTAACTAGAAGGTGGAGTATGTGTAGAAGGAGATAAGGACGGAAAAAATTGGTTGGGGCTGGACCATGCAAGGCCTTGAATGCCAGGCTGACGTGTGAGGACTTAATCCATAGGTAAACAAGAAACTTTTTTTTTTAAATGAGACTGATAAAATCCAAGTTTTGTTTTAGGAAGATCAATATGAGCAGCATGTTCGATATGATTTGGACTAAGAAAACTAAAGATAGGTAAATAAGGGTCTGAACACTAAACAGAGGCGGTAGCTGTAGAAATGGAAAGGAGAGACTGGGAGACAGAAACATCATAGAGACAGAATTAGAAAGGCAATATGACTCAAAAGCAAGTGGGAAAAGAGTGGTGTCATTAACAGCAGTGTAGAAATGGGGAGAAGAAAAGGATCTCCTGTGGTTTTGGACTCATTATTGTTTGCTTAATCATATGGCAGTCCCACTTTCAGATCAGAAATTGAATTGTTGTTATCTGACTTTTTTTACCTCATGGATCATAGCTAGCCAATACTATCCCTGGGGTTTTCTTGGCAAAGATGCTGGAGTGGTTTGCCATTTCTTTCGGCAGTAGATTTAGGCAAATGGAGATTAAGTGACTTGGCCAGGGTCCCACAGCTGAGGTCGGATTTGAACTCAGGTGTTCCTGACTCCAGGCACAGTGCTGTATGCACTGAGCCACCTAGCTGCTAGGAGGCTGAAGACTCCCCAAGAGGCTCGAGTTCCTCCAATCACACTGACCACTTAGATAATTGCTTATTTTGCCTATGCAGATAAATTCATAATAATAGTTAATAATAATAGTCAGCACTACTAAAGCATCCACTATGTGCCAAGCACTGTGATAAGTGCTTTGTAAATGTTACCTCGTTGGATCCTCACCAAAGCCCTGTGAGGTAGGTGCTATTATAATTCCCATTTTACAATTGAGTAAACTGAAACAAATAAAAGTTAAGTGACTTACCCAAGGTCACACAGCTAGTATCTGTTAATTCTTTGCTGTTTATCCAGTATATAGCTTACTTTGTATAGATTTGTTTACATAGTCTCCCTCATTACATTGTAAGCAGGGACTGTCTTTTGCTTCTTTTTGTATCCCCAGTGCTTAGCACAGTGCCCAGCACATAGTAGGTGCTTAATAAATGTTTATTGAGGCTAGATTTGGACTCTGGTCTTCTTGACTCCAAGCCCAGAGCTCTATCCATTGAGCCATCTAGTTGCCCTAGCAGCTAACAACTTGGATGCCCAACAGGTTTGTCTAGGGCTTTTGTATTTGTCCAAAGGGCTTCATCACAGGACACAGCAGTCTCTTGAGATTGGTAGAACAAGTATTGTTATCCACGTTTTACAGGTCAGGAAACTGAGGACCAGGTCTCCTGACTCTTGGTCCAGTGTTCTTACTTCTGTTGTCCAGTGGGTCCTATTATGAAATGATCTTGATAGGAATGTAGTTAAGGAGAAAGAATAGTGTAGCTAGGCAGACTCTAGGGCTGTGTGTGGGCAGAGATTCTCCTTTGCTTGGAAAGTAGAATTCTGTTAGTCTCCAACTTATACAAAATGGGCATGGGAGCAAAGAAGTCGATAGTTAAGTCAAGACTAATGGGGCCTTGCCCTGAGGCTTCAGAATTTAGGGTGTTCCAACAATACTTTCTACCCTTTAATAGCTTTAGGACCTAGTTAGCAATAAAAAGCAGTCTTAAAAATGAACTACCACATGGCTCTTGCCCCAGTGAACTCTTTCCCCAGGCCACACTCTGCGATGAACACCTCCCTCCCAAGGGAGAGAGATAAAACTGCTAGTCATGGGAGTCCCCTTCTGCTGAC